GCTACAAGTGTGTGGATCAATCGCTACAAGTGTGTGGATCAATCGCTACAAGTGTGTGGATCAATCGCTACAAGTGTGTGGATCAATCGCTACAAGTGTGTGGATCAATCGCTACAAGTGTGTGGATCAATCGCTACAAGTGTGTGGATCAATCGCTACAAGTGTGTGGATCAATCGCTACAAGTGTGTGGATCAATCGCTACAAGTGTGTGGATCAATCGCTACAAGTGTGTGGATCAATCGCTACAAGTGTGTGGATCAATCGCTACAAGTGTGTGGATCAATCGCTACAAGTGTGTGGATCAATCGCTACAAGTGTGTGGATCAATCGCTACAAGTGTGTGGATCAATCGCTACAAGTGTGTGGATCAATCGCTACAAGTGTGTGGATCAATCGCTACAAGTGTGTGGATCAATCGCTACAGGTGTGTGGATCAATCGCTACATGTGTTTGGATCAAACGCTACAAGAGTGTGGATCAATCGCTACAAGTGTGTGGATCAATTGCTACAGTTATGTGGATCAATCGCTACAAGTGTGTGGATCAATCACTACAAGTGTGTGGATCAATCGCTACAAGTGTGTGGATCAATCGCTACAAGTGTGTGGATCAATCGCTACAGGTGTGTGGATCAATCGCTACAGGTGTGTGGATCAATCGCTATAAGTGTGTGGATCAATCGCTACAAGTGTGTGGATCAATTGCTACAGGTGTGTGGATCAATCGCTACAGGTGTGTGGATCAATCGCTACAAGTTTGTGGATCAATTGCTACAAGTGTGTGGATCAATCGCTACAAGTGTGTTGATCAATTGCTACAGGTGTGTGGATCAATCGCTACAAGTTTGTTGATCAATCGCTACAGGTGTGTGGAGCAATCGCGACAGGTGTGTGGATCAATCGCTACAAGTGTGTGGATCGATCGCTACAGGTGTGTGGATCAATCGCTATAGGTGTGTGGATCAATCGTTACAAGTGTGTGGATCAATTGCTACAGGTGTGTGGATCAATATATATATATATATAGAGAGAGAGAGAGCGAGAGAGAGAAAGAGAGAGAGACATAGAGAGAGACAGAAAGAGAGAGAGACATAGAGAGAGAGAGACACACACAGAGGGAGAGAGACAGAGATTGTGGAACAAGTTGTGCAGTGCAGAGTTAAGAGATAAAATCAAACATTTAAAAAGTTGTGTGAGGGCCCATAGAGGGAAAGGAAAGTGGAACTCTCTGTCAATGAAAAGATGGCCTTGGCCTTGGCCTTTTTTTATCTGGTAAATTTAAAGAACCATTCTTTGTAATTCAGACTTAAAGCTAAACCCCCCCCCCCACCAAGATGTTCCCACAAACCCCTTAATACCCAGATTTCCAAACGTTATTGGGGTCATAGCGTCCTTGCTGTATCCACGTTTTCCCACGGCTGCAGGGTGTTAAATTCTAACAAGTGCACTATCACACAGTGAAGTTTTCTGAAAAGTCTTCACTCCCTGATTAGTGACTGACAACCAACTCATTTTTTAAATAACAAACATGGGGAAATTTCAATTATCAGATGAATTAACTAATTTCCATTTCTATGTGAACACAAAGTGCCAGAGCGTTCTTGAAACTACTAGCGAATCAATATACTTAATAGTATACTTTTATAGTGTTTATAGAGCGCCTTATAATAGCAGCCTTGTATAGAGTGCCTAATAATAGCAGCCTTGTATAGAGTGCCT